TTCCAACCGACTTTTAAACATCATTGTTTGAAATAAGAGCACGAAAACGTAGAAGAGCACAGGATAGACAGGGACAAGAACTTGTTCCTGTCTATCTCGTCTATCCTGCCTATCCTGTTTTCGCGCTCTAATTTCAAACAATCATGAATCACTAGCCCAATCAACCATTTTGACAAGTTAAACACCACCTCGGTTCTGTCCAGCATACTTGAAAATTTCGCGTAACTTTGTTTCGGCACAAGCTGTACGTGGAACATCCCCAGTGGTGGTTGCTACATGCATGTGCTCAGATGCCGAACACGTCGCGCTGCAGTTCCATTTTGGCGTCAATCGCGAAGTTATCTATCGTTTTTTTTTTTTTAACCCAAAATAAAGGAGGGGGAGGTGTAGAAGAAAGGTGGTAGAGCGGAGCAAAAACAGAGGTTTAATGACTCAGACAAGCGAGAAACGCGTCCATCACCGGCAACCGTTCGTTCGGCACACAACAAGAGAGCCCTCCTCTCGTGCCCACAGTTCGTTCTCTTCTTTCTTATCCTAAATATCCAACATTATGTAACAGGGAGCTGTGATTAATCTTTGCTCCCCTTCATACCTATAATTACAAATGACGTGCAACACCTATATACCGGTGTTTTCGCGTATCCGGTGCGAAATTCTAGATACCTAACGTTTCACCTGCACATTCTCTTCCATGGTGAGGAACGTCTGATGGGGTGAATTAACGACAGTTAACGACAATAACCCATGTCGGGTTTTTACGGCCCACAACCACGATACGATTATAACAAAGACCACAGTAGTATAGAGCTCCGGAAATTGCCACCCCCCGAAGTTCTCTAACGCATTTCCAGTAAGTTTCCTCGCAGCAGACAGGAAAAATATGTGCCCACACAGACGCACAGAAGGTCGCGCCATGTTTGCCTACGCATGTCCCGCCTTTCATTTGCGCCGAGGGAAAACTTACTGAAGACGTATTACCGGAAAGCTCACATCGCATCTCTCTTGGTCTTTAAACGCCAATCTAAGTACGCGCGTCCTTCTAGCATATCGCCTCAATCGAAATACGCCCGCAACGACCAACTCTACCTTTAGTTCTCGAATAACCATTCATCAAGCATAAGCCGAGTGAGTGCTTTATTTTAGTAAGCCGTTAACGATTTCTCGTATACGTGCGTCATCATCTTATCGACCTGTCGCTGTGGAGCATACCTGTGAGTGCATACCACTCCCGTTCTGCCTATAAAGCAGGTTACGCTCGTGGCAGCGGTTCAATCGACTGGTGCACGCGGTGTCACGAAGAGCACCGCCCATCTGCCGACACCGTTTCTGTTTTTACCTTCTCCCGATTCGCCACGTTCCAAATGCCAGTCACGCCATGTGGGTTGCATATCGCGAAGAAGGAAAGACGAAACGCTGGCAATTAACGAATGGGGCGGGCACAAACACTCCTCTCTCTCTCTCTCTTTCTTTCTTTCTCCGAAATGCATGGGGACTGAATCGAGAGTGAATCAACGTACAGTCAGCGTCAAAGTTTAGATATCACTGGCTCTGAGAAAATGTTTACTTTCTTTGTAGTTTGTAAGTATATTCGGTCTGACTGCACAGAACATGGTTGTGTGTGGAGTCGCTGACAAGCCACTCGAACAAGGGCGCGTGGGCTAGACTTATTGGAAACTCCCTTGTCAAGCTCTTCCCTATTTGACCCTACACGCTACCCTTGACCTAACCTAGAGGGCGCCGATTTCAGGATCACGAGTCACGTTGGTTGCTGGATTTATGGTGTGTAACGTCCCAAAGCGACTCGGGCTATGGGGGCCGTCCTAATGGAGGCCTCCATATAATTTATACCACTTCGTGTTCACTGGCATATCCACGGAAAGGGATGGGGTGGGGGTCCTACTACTCTCGCCCCATCACAAAATTTCCGAATCTACAAGCGTATGTAGACACAACACGCGCACGGAAATACATACAGTACCGTCGTTCGCCCCCCCCCCCCTCTCCGGAGACAATTTCCAGCTGCGCTCCTGGTGGGGATCTTTAGCGAGAACAGCGCACGGACCATTTCGCCTCCTTCAAAATGAGACAGACGCGGACGGGTTTGAGCACCGTCACCTATGAAACTTCTCGAGAGAAGCTAAGATTATCAATTGACGGAAAGTTGGCTCCCCGACGTGATGGCTCCATACCGGCACCCCCCGTGGATGGCGCCGCCGGTGTTTTCACTTTTCACCGCCGTCTTCGCCGCGGCGCTCGTGTACGTGCCGGTGACCTTATCGCAGCGGCTCACCAGCAGGAGGTGGCGCGCCGTCGACAGCCCTGGCTCGCGCGCGACGACTCGAGTTTAAGCGCCGCGAAGGCGGGTGAGGAGGAGGGGGGAGGAGGGCGAGGACAAATGGAACGAATTGAAGACAAAGCGAGGAAGGGGACGAGGCTGCTGCTCGGGTGAGGACCCCGCGCTGATGATGGATAAAGAAGACAACCCGAAAGTGAAGAGCAAAACTAAGGACTTCTCGCAGTCACTCGAGGGATGCCGCAAAGCATGCGATCCAGATGAGACAGAAAGAGAGAAAGAAAGAAAGAAGGAAAGACCAGCCTAGAAAGAGAAATAGAGAGATAATTTTAAAGGGGAAAGAGAGATGATAAAAGAAATAGGAGAGGAACGGAGGAAAGTTTACTTAATGTTAAAGTAAGCAGCAGTGACTACCATGACAGCATTTCGGATAAATAGTGCGGGGTAAAAGAATAATAAATACGGGAATGATGAAGCCCGCAATGAGCAGCGCAAGGAGGTAAAACAGAAGGAAATCCGCGGCGTTGAAGACTCAGCTTCTAAGGGAAAAAACGAAAACAGAGAAAAAAATACGAAATGCTGCGGTAAAAGGTGGAGAAGGTGAGAGAGAGAGGTGTAAACTATGGAAAGTGGAAGATAAAGACAAGAAAACAGGTAACAAAACAAAGTGCTGAGAAACGATGAGGAGCCGGAGAATGCAGACACAGCTGGAGACCCCACCATGCCGCCACATTTCTGAAACGAGAGCTGAGATAAAAACTTGCCAGGAATAAACAACCAGGAACCACCTGAAAAAAAAAACGAAAAGGAAAACCTCAAGCTAGAAACAAGAGATTCACAGGCTCCAAAACGAGGAGGAAGGTGGGGGGGGGGGGAGTAGATAGGTGCGAAGACGGTGCCACGTGGGTAAATAGAAAGAACGAAAGAGAACAACAAAATGAATGAAGAGAGAGAGAAGTGGGTAAAGGGGACGCGTTCCGTGTTTAGCAACCTACCGCAGCCGCCGTCGCCGCCATGGCCGAAGGGGTTTTGAGCCACGGCCGACCGACGCAAACGCAGCAGCCAGGGACGAGGTCTTGTAGAGTCTGCCGCTGTAGCCCGAGAAACGCTGCCGTCATCTCCTTGTTGCATGCACGAATAAGAGGGAATGAAAAATTCGCCCTCTCCACTGACCTGAACTTTCCCTGTCCCATCGCTATTCATCCTTGCGTAATAGAACAGACCGACCTAGTCGAGTAATCCAATAGAAATACGACATTTATTGTAAGCGAAACTGAAATTTCAAGTTGTTTAAGGTGTTTCAAATGTTGTGAAGAGGGCAGAGGTTTCCTGAGATGAGTGATCCTCCCAGCTTCACTAACTGGCAACTTTTCAAATAAGAATGTTCTCTCTAGTTTCTCTGAGGCAAATGTACAATATCACTCGTGTAGTTATTCATTAGGTTGTATTAAAAGAGCATAGCCAACTTTTTCCAACACCAAACTGATGAAGTTGACGCGTGTACCATTTTTAAGGCAAAAGTCTTGTATGTCACATGACTGGATAATTCACTGGTATCTACACAAACGGTACAGAAGGTAACGTGATACTCAAGTGAATGAAAGAAGCTGATTACGTCGTATCAAAGTTACTTTAAGTGAATTCGTAGTCTGTTAAAGTAGACTACGAATTAACTTAAAGTAAAAATACTTTATATATCTTATTTAGCACCACCAGTGAATCGAGCGATGAGAAGTTCGCCTTGAAAGTTACGACACGATGTCGCCGTTGAGGACATGGCAGTGATAAGGGCGCTACGTACAGACGTGACTGTCAAACAAAGTTACGAGTATGTTTTATCGCCCCGCAGTAAAACCGGACGATAAGACTCATCCACAGTTCCTACAGCCATGCCACGCTCCATTCTAATCCTTCCGTGAAAACAATGCTACTGCTGAGATGAGTCACGATCGAATGTAGCAGCGAGTCTATCACATCCTAGAAAAGTGCTATGTGGTCGACTTCGAATCGAATTCGTTTAATTTGTTTCCGCAGCATGGTAGCACCCATAAACTGCTCTACGATTATACGTATATGCTTTATCTATATATGAAAAAAATACAATGAAGGTAGGCTACATTAGAGCCGGCCATCCCAACATCATGGTAGCAATATCGTCATGGGCAGCAATATACTCAGAAGTTATATAGTCATATAACTTCTGTTAGCGCAAGTTGTTTAAAAGGAGTGTGCACTGATGTTTTCTCGTGCGCTTAAAACAGACATGTTCTTTAAGTGAAAATTTCAAGTAACTCTAAACACGTACCTCGCAAGAGGCACGTCCTGCCTGGTTACCTTACCGACATCACATCACCTCAACCGGCTTCGATTCTAAGCTTTTTCTAGATACACACACATACAAAAAAAAAGCTAGAAAGAAGAAAAAATGGTGAAATACAAGCATGAATGTCCTTCATCTGCCAAAGGCGTGCCATGGGAAGGTCTTCGGAAAGGTACAAAGAAGCTCTACAACATTTCAAAGTAAGCTACAGGGGTGGTCAAAAGTTAGCCTGCCATCTCACGTAATCCTAAGGCAGCGCGACCTTGAAACTTACCACCACCCCTTTTAAACACACAGAGGCATGTAATATGTCACGTCATAGTTGTGAATTCGTCGGACTTATGCGCGCAACTAATCGCTGTTTTCTGCATTGTTTTGTCTTTGCAGACGGAATACGGCCTGACAGAGGAGCAAGTCGCAGGTAAATCACGAGTTTTCTTGTGCTTGAGAACTTGTCCCTATCGCTGAGTGAGTTAGTGAGTGAGTGAGGCACTTTGCAAAGATCTTTGTACTAGTCACTTTATACCTGATTACCGAGTTAGTTATGAAGATCCAAGTTGGGAGGTGTCTCTCTGACAGAGCACAATGCAAAGGTTACCGCGTAAATGACTCATATTCAGGGAGAAACTGCTGTCATAAAATTTTTCTCAATTAGTGGGGGAAATCTTTTCGAAAAAACAGAAGAAATGTTGATCATCGCTTATCTAACAACCAAAAAGTGAAGTAAGATATGTGTTGAAGTACTCCAGAAAAAAAAGGAATCATTACTGCGTGAAATGTTTACTAATGTAGCATCTGATGTTTCACTAACGCTACTAACTCGTAGCGCGACCCAACTAAACGTTGTGTGTCACGCTACGACACACAACGTTTGAACTGAATTCAGAAGCACTTTATTTTTAGGTGTAAAGCAGCTCTTCGACTCACATATGTACCACCGCACGTACGTGCGTCCGTACGAACACACCGCAACGCGTTCCCCTCGCCACAGGTGTTGGAGCGGTGCCAAGTAGGCCACGCCGCAGCTGTGCGTTGACGTCACGCTCTCCTCGCAGGTGCACGCCACTCTCTCCATCACCCACAGTACGGTCGCCTAGCACCCGCAGCTACTGGCTAGTCCACCCGCTCGCAAGACACTGCTCGTTCGCTTCACACTTTCCACCGCCCGTTAATGCTCGACTGCGCGTCGAGTGGAAACACTCTTTCGGCTCGTTTATCGGCGATGAAACTTACACGAAACCCAACCGGCCTCCCGTGTCTTTGCGTTTCAAACAAACGCAAAGTAAACGCTACACTGAGTTTCGCTTCAAACCATTCTTCGAGCACGCGCGTCGACTCCCGTTTCAACCGGGTCAACGCCGTGCGCACCGCTGCTGCTTCGCATCTCATCAGGGTCCCCTTCGGAATGATGGTCCATAATTTTTCACCTCTTCGTCTTTCGGCTTGATTCACTCGGCCATCAAACCAAGAAAATAAAAATAAGTGAAACTTCGAGCGTTGAGAGCGCTTAGCGCGAACTGTAAATGGAGCATGCAATTGCGTAGCAACTGGGACATAAATTTTACATCGAGAAAGTTATCGCTGTAGACGTACAGGGCGGAAGTCTTTTTCGAGTGCAGCCAGTTCACGAATTCTCGTAAAAGCTGTGCCCACTGCAGATGAAACACAGCGTAAGAATCCCATATTTTCTTTTTTTCTTTTTTTTTTGCCGGAAGAAACAGGATTTAGGAGCTTGTTTTCGTGTCGAACTAAGACTCAGAGCGCGCGGCCGCAGTTTGTTCTGCAGACTGACGTCTCAATCACAGAGAAAGTTGATGCGTTGTTTTCAAAAATGACGCGCACGCGCGTGTGTATGTGCCAGTGTGTGTGTGTGTGTGTTAGAAAGAGAGAGAGACAAAAAAGAGAGCAAATAGTTTTTCTCTTTTTTTGCGGGTTCACGAAGCAATAAGAGGGGTATTCACTGCGCCGCCTTCCAAGAACGGGCGTGTATTATGGATGAGGCCGCCGCATGGCTGCTGCAACGCTTTGCTCGTACACAACGTCTGCAGAGCGAGCGATAAAGCGAACGAGATACTAAAGATACATGAACGCGCCTACAGCCAGAACGTCGCGACCCACATAACCAAAGCGAGGTCATCACTTTGAATCATTCAACCGGGTGAAGAGATGGGGACGCGCAAAAGTCGCTCGATTTGTCTGCTTAACTTTGCTTATCTCCTCTGGTATGCCCCCCCCCCCCTTCTCTCTCTCTCTCTCTCTCTCTCTCTCGGTTGCCTTGTTTGACCATATACTCGGTACATTAATCTAAAACGGCCCAGCTGGCTCCGTGATGCATTGTTGAAGGAAGCCACGAAAAAAAAAACACAGCATATCTATACGGAGTAAATGATGATGAGTGGGGCGGAGGGTCCATCCATCCATCCGTCTGCCGACGAGCTGCCTATGTCGATGCCGCAGCGACCGTCAACTGGTGGAAACCAAAGTTTCTATCACGCGTAGTGGCACGACCACCGATTGACATTCTTGTTTCTCTTCCTAGAACTTCTGGTCGAAAGCTTCCTTTCGGTTTTCCTAATATCCAGAAAAACTGTTTCGGAAAATAGAACTGCTACGTAAACGATTGTTGCAGTTCAAGTTAAGAGTTATATTGGATGCATGTGATATCGAAGCAAAAATTTTTCGAGGGGAGGGCCAAATAATAGAGATGATACTTAATGAAAGTAATTGAACGAGTCCAGTGAAACAGCAGACGTTTTGTGTGTGCGTGTGCGTGTGTGTGTGTGTGTGTGCGCGTGTGCGTGTGCGTGTGTGTGTGTGCGTGTGCGTGTGTGTGTGTGTGTGTGTGTGTGCGTGTGTGTGTGCGTGTGTGTGTGTGTGTGTGTGTTAGACCGGTAGCCTGCTCGATACCCGCTCCGCCGCGGACGCGTGATCGTGTTGCGACGCCTGGCGAGACAGATCCGAACCACGCGCTTCTCTCTACGCGACCTTTGAGATTCGCTTCGGCAGCGTGAATAAACACAAGCTTAACTCGAGGGATACACCGATACGCACGAAGGGCGAGGTGCGAATGCCGCTATACCCAAGTCCACGCCTCCTCTATTTTATCAATGCCAGGCAGTTGCACTCGGTCCAACCATTCAGCACCCTCTCATCCAGCTTTTTTCTGCTCTCGCCCATCGCCTAGCCTTCGCGTGTGCTTTGCGGTCATGGCGGAGAGAACACCTCGAGCATCGCTTGACGGAAGTCATATGAAGTAATGTTCTGTTCAGTTGTGTACAGATCCACGGAACAGCATCTTGCATTCCCCGTGCTCACGATATTAACAGGTCACGCTATAGCTATGTTGAAGATACGGTGTTTTGAGATCTGAGCGTGTCGCCATTCGTGGCACTATGTGGACAGCGAATGGGGAAGCGCCACTGCAACGCTATTGCATGCGCTGTGCTGTGAGACGACGGCGGCATTGCTTCGAGCCACAAAAAGAAAGGAGCCATGGAAGGAACAAGTCTGACAGACGAATGATATTGGATTGGGAAACATTTCTGTCGCATCTCCGGGAGAAAGCGCTCGGAAGCACGTGTGACGCAAGCAGAGCTACCCATCATGCAGCGTCGCATCACGATCACTACCGTTGAGAAGGGCGCGTTTGCACGGGCATTGAAAGAAATAGAAGGAGCTTTGATTGATATGTGGGGTTTAACGTCCCAAAACCACCTTATGATAATGAGAGACGCCGTAGTTGAGGGCTCCGGAAATTTCGACCCCCTGGGGTTCTTTAACGTGCACCCAAATCTGAGTACGTGGGCCTACAACATTTCCGCCTCCATCGGAAATGCAGCCGCCGCAGCCGGGATTCGATACCGCGACCTGCGGGTTAGCAGCCGAGTACCTTAGCCACTATAGACCACCACAGCGGGGCTAAAAGCGGCTTTGCCTAAGTCAAAAGTTGGAACCACCTCCACATTTTTTTTTTTTCAGGTTTCGCGCTGTTGACTTCTATTTACCGGACTAGACGAAGACTCAAATGAATATGACAATAAAACGTGCAAATGATACAAATACGTGAGAAGCATCTAAAACCTTGAAAAAAATGTTACGCTAAAAATGCTCGTTAGCGAAAATTTAAGCCTGTCTCTTGGTTGAGCATGCTTTAGTGAAGCAGGCAAGCCACTGATAGCGCCTAGGAAATAGAAGTTCTGTGAACAAGACCCCCGAATTCGCATAGGCGGAATAGCGGTGAAACGATGGCCGTTTAGTTCACTGCGGAACGAAGAGTAACATGTTCGGGCTACTAGAGACGTTGAGGAAGGAAGAATCTAGAACGTGACTAGCACGAAAAGCGAACGTGAGTAGCACGTGATTGCGATAGCCTCGACAGGCCAACCTCATTTGACGCCGCCACTTTCGACCAGTGCGTGGTGACTGCTGGGCAGAATGAGGCCCAAGCAACAGTCGCAACCAAAGCGAGCCGACCAATAAAAGCGCTTGCTGGTCACATGACCGGAACTTTTTTTTTCTTTGCGGATTTTGGTGACTATAGGCTTCAAGACTGTCACATGACGCTCCATTCCTGGTTGTTTTTGTTTTTTTTTTCTCCTTCCTCCGTGCCTGGTGGCCACAGGGGCCTTCGTGACAGTGACGACAACTATAGTGGTGTGTTCTAACAGCAACGTCTTCCTCTCCGTGACTTAATGGTACGACGGAAGAAGTCACGTGGAAAGCTGGTGTTGTACCATAGCCTCCTATGTTTTTCTTGCCTGCCGGATGAGCGCGAAACGCCCGTCATCTATGGCGGCGCCACCTACGGTTAAGGGTCTTTGTACTTGGCCTTTGAGATCAGCAACTTTGGCGTTTGTTAATTTCAAAGGCTATGGCTTGCATTGAAGGGGTTGCCTGCTGAAAGAGCGCGAAACGCCCGTCATCTATGGTGGCTTCACTTACGTAGGGTTAATTATGAATATTTAAAATTACGTTTACGCCTTTTTGAAACTTTTTAACGTTATTTTTGTTGCATATAAGCTCCAAAAACGTAAAAACATATTTGAAGACAATCCTACTTAAGTGGCGCCGCCACTGCAGTTCCGACGTTTTCCAAGCGACCGCCGATAATCCTACAGGCAAGGGAAATCTAGGAGGCCGCGGTCTTACCCACCGAGATCAGGGTGTGATTACGAGGCACACCATAGCGAGAGGCACGGGAATAATTTGCCGCCACGGCCGGGAATCGAACCTTCGACATCGAGCTTAGTAACGCAACACACTGCCTGCTAATTACCACGGCGGGTCACCAGCGCGACAAAGCAGGGCGCTCACTCAAAGCGTCCTGCTTGTCACACAAGAATGCGAGACACGTTTCTCGTTTCACAGTCCCGTAATAACCGACATCGTAATGCGACACAAACGCGTTAGCATTAGCTTTCA